CAACATATTAATTAACTAGAATGTTAATCTACAAGAATCCACGATAAAACAAGATGAAAATGCCCAAAATAGGCTAAAACTTGAGTCTCACGAGTGCAGCAGCTATCTGATATCTAAAACTTAACCTAAAAATAATAAAATATTCTATTTATATTAGGCTAGAAAAACTGGACAAAAATACCCCTGCGGGGCTGGCGCGGACCGCGCAGAAATGCAGCGCGGCCGCGTAGGGGTCTTGGCCTTCGATCACTCACTTCTGAAGCTGGGGACACGGACCGCACAAAGAGGTAGCGCGGCTGCGCAGGCTAATGGGGCGCGGACCGCGCAACAATGAAGCGCGACCGCGTGGACACAAGCGCTGACCGCGTAGAAAGGAGCGCGGACCGCGCATGGAAACCCTTGAAATGTATACTCTCTGAATCTCCTAGCGCGGCCGCGCAGCAAATCAGTGCGGTCCGCGCTAGGTCCTCTTGTCCCCACTTTAATGATTTTTGACACTTGAGCGTTTCACTCCGTTTCGAGCCGATTTTTCACTTTTGTCATCTTGTCGCTCAAACCTGCAATCAAGCGCACTTTGTAAGCATTCTGGGTCTATTTTATGACAATTCATACATAAAGCATAGGCAAGTGTGGGCATAAAACGCGTTAAAATCACAGTTATCAACTCCCCCAAACTTAAACATTTGCTTGTCCTCAAGCAAATAAAAGAAGACCCACCCCTAAAAAGGAAACATCCAAGTAATTCCAGCTTATCCTAAGGAAGCCTCATCACGCATCAATTGGGACTAACAATTGCCCTCAATACGAATGCATCATTAACACATTTTTAAACTTTTAAGAACTATGGATCAAATGTGACACAAGAGCATCAAGGGTTGACTCATTTCATCAAGGCGCTTTTCTCAAATACCTTGGTCATTGTGGAACCCAAACTCACACATCCTCAACTCTCCCTAAGCGAACCTCACTTTTTTTTAGAGTAATGACACACAACCCGAGGTTGATGGATTTTTCACTCATTTCTCTCACAAAGATGGTCATAAGTCCAGCTTTAGGTACCATATGCTTGCCCCTTATGTAAGTATCCACTAATGTAAGCTTCCCTCAACTCGAGATCATATAGGGCATTTGAGGAGTCATTGTGAAGGCTTTTGGGTAAAGGTAGGATATGTTTTTGTTCGTTTAGGTTCAATCTTCCCTTCAGCACTTCTTTTGATTCATTTTGGCATACTTTTTGACTCATTTGAGTATTTCACTTCTTTCAAGGGGTTAGAGAGATACATTGTCACTCTTTCTTTTGCAATTCAAACCTTTCTCCTTTTTCTATTTTTACACAACCTTTGTTCACTTTGTTTTCTTTGAATCCCCTTTTTCGGTTCTTATTCACTTTTGTATTTCTTTTTGTCTTTTTCTCTTTTTCATTGCCTCCCTTTTCTTTTGCTTTTGTGCCTCTTTACCACATTGATGCCTTTCTTGTCTCTTCCCCCCAAACTTAGATATTTGCCATTGCTCAAGGGAAGATTTGGGTGCCAAGAGAGGGTCTCATTGAGAACGGGTATAGGCTTGTAGCTTTGGTTCATGAAAGAAGAAGGTTTAAGGCTCAAAAGGGTTGAACTAGGGATCATTTCATTGGTAGGTCATGGAAATTGTTCAAGTTTGGAAGTTTGGATCAAGGAGTGCTTATATTCACTTCTCAAGTCAAGTTTCACCTATGATTTCGCCTCAACAAACATTCAGGGCAAGTTCTAGACCATCGGCTTGGAGCTTAGACTCACAATTCGAATTCTCACCACACACACTCAAGGATTGCTAAAGACATCGAGTTGAGAACCCACAACGACCTTAGTTCCAATTCAAGCGCACAATGGCCCCCACACGACCATATGATGATTGTTTGGTCAACACAAGAGTCTCAAGGCCACAATTTTCACCATCCTAAACACAACATTATGTCTTTGACCATGGGATCAAAGGCAAATGTGTTAGGCCCAAGTGAAGCTTGCCTGAGGTCCTCTTAACTACAAAATTTTGAAAATCAAATGAAGAAAAATCAAAAACTGACTCAAACCCTTAAGAAGGTTGTCACGCCATCTATCATTGGGAAGAGCCACCCGGTTCGCACAACACACTACCCTTGGAAAGAACCGTGGCATTAAGAAAACCAAGGGCTTATTGAAAACACTAAAACCGAAATAAAAGGCTACGAGCCTCACTACTAGGCTGAAAACGAAAAATTTGAACGAAAATAGAAAAACCGAATGAATATGTACAATGGGGAGTAGAATATACAACGGGATGAATATATACATAGGAGTCTAAAAGTAGCCAAAGTTAAAAGTTATATACAGGCCAACATAATCCAAAACATAGACTAGAAATGAAATAAATATATACAGTCATCCAATGTATCAGAATCAAAATGGTAGGGCGCACCCCCACGAATAAAAGCTGGCATTGTCCCCAATGCCAACTACCAAGATAGCTCAAAAACATAGTAAAAGGATATAGAGAGGCCCCTCAAGCCTAGTCCACATGCGTGGGGTCTCCTGTCGTCCCTGGATCCTCTGTAGTAGCCGGGACCTCAGACTGGTCTCCGACCTGCTGCTGCTGTGCTGCTGGGACATGAGCTGGATCAAGGACAGGCTGAACCACCGGTGGAACACTGGATGTACCCTCATGAACCTGGGCCACCTCTATCACAACTCCCTCAGTGCTAGGGAGTTTCCTCTTCTTCCTCGGCCTGGGAGTCTCCTCCTGCTGTGGCTGAACTGCTGCTGGATCTACAGTTGGCTCCCCGAAGAGTAAGTCAAGTGGCATCTGATCCGCCAAAAGCTTATCCACATCCTCCCTCAACTTCATCACTGACTCCTTGGAAGCCTTTTGCTTCCTCAATTTCCTGTGCTCCCTAGCTAGTTTACCCAATGCTGTGCTGTGTGCCCCAACTGCCTTAGCCAAGGCATTCTGTGTCTCCATCATCTTTTCCTGGTTGGCCAGGATCTTCTTCAGTGTCTCCTCAATAGAAGGAGGGATCTCAACTGTGGAAGGGGCTGACTGTGCCTGAACTACAGTGGCCAAGTTTGACAACTTGGATGTCGCAGCTGACATCCAGTTGTTCAAACTGGCTAGAGACTGAGCAAGCTGGTGGGCAGTGAAATGGTGAGTCTTCGATGAAGGGACATCCGGGTCTGCTGCAGTAGATGGACCAGCAATAGTAGAAGGGCCCTGAGGCAATGTCTCACTGGTAGTAGGGATGGTGGAAGGCTCAGTGGACTGCTCAATAACCGCTGGCTCCTCAGACTGGCCAGGTGCAGTGGAAGTGGATGCCTGAGTCTTTTTGGACCTCTTTAGGTTGTCGGGACCCAACTGACTGTACCATGAGTAGGGGCCCACTGGATCTACCTGGACATCAAACCTCTTCTTCTTCACCTTCAATTCTCTAAAGTACAGGGAAAGAGTGTTCGGGAAGGGGTAGTTTGTGTTGGTCTCCTGCCCGACCGTAGAAATCACCCTTGACATGATGTTGCCCACATTCAGAGGAAAACCAGCCATAATAGAAGCCACTAACACTGCACGGGGAATAGGAACTGTGTGATCATGAGTGGAGGGGTCAAGCCTACTACACACGAATGTCAACCAACCCTTTGCTTCAAAACTGAACGTGTTTCTCAGAATCTTCTCCCCTGCTTTCAACCAAACTGGGATAGTGCCCAGGGCTGCCAAGTGCTGGGCCAACCACGGGCGAACCTCTTCTTTCATTGCGAGCTTTTCTAAGTATTGGGTTTCGTCCTCTTCATTGAACCCCAAAACTCATTCAGAGACTTCCCATCAAACATCACCACTTTGTCCCTCACTTGTGTCGCATTTGAGTCTTTCACTACATGATAAACATTGCAGTAAAATTCTTTCACCATATGTTCATTTGCGACTATGCAACGTTCCTTGAAGAACGCCCAACCCTCTCTAGTACGGAATTGTGCTTGCACCTTTGGGTTTAGAGGAAGAAGATCAGAGTCAATAAATTGCCTCTCCGGAATCAATTTTCTTTTGGGCCACCACTCTCGAAATCTGTGGAAGGCTATTTCACTTACAAATCTATCAGCCCATACTTCCGGTTTTCTTGTTCTATCAACACCACCAACTTGGGGCTCACCCCCCTCACCATATCCTGCACTCTCCCCAGATAATGAAGCTGTGGGGGAGGTGGAGTATTGTGCCTCACTTCTATCTTCGGACTCATCAGACGAGTCCAAAACTACATTCACCGGTCTTTTGAGGTTTTTATCAGCTGGTCCCTTGGAGGTAGGTGAAGTTGAAGGAGAGTCATGCAATTGGAGCGAGAGAGACATGTGAGTGGGAGCAGATTCAGAAGTAATACTCCGGGATGGTGCATACTCACTCCCCGAAGAGTGGGAGGCAGCTCTATCAGCTTCCCGTATTATCTTGCGGGTCTTTTTTATATTCTCCTGAGTCTGGGGAGTGTTTAACAACCCGCTTTCCTTTTCCCCCTCGGGAGGAACCACCCCTCCCGGGTTGTTGTTCTTTCCCTCCTCGTTGCTTAACCATGATCTGCAAAGAAAAGTCTAACATTGTTAGTTGAAGCATATGCAGTAAATTGGATGGTACAGTTGAAAGCATGGTTTAGAAACAGGGTTGCAGAATAGAAGGGGCACGGACCGCGCAAAAGTGCCACGCGGTCGCGCTGGGGTAGCGTGGACCGCGTAAAACTGGAGCGCGGACCGCGCTTAAGATGTTCCAGTGAAACCCCTCTCTGAATCTTACCAACGCGGTCCGCACTGAAAAAAAAGAATTTGGACCGCAGCCGCACTAGGCTGGCGCGGACCGCGCACAAATGCTACGCGGACCGCGCAGAAGATACTCAGCACACA